TGATGAACCCATTTCGGAACATTGTTTTAGTACCCTTTGTGCAGGTAAATATTTGGTGAATTACTCTGGTGCCGTTATTTATGTTTGAGCGGCTGTTACATCGCTTTACAATGGAAATTACGTCGGACAGGCGTCAGCAGTGTTTATTACCAAAAAGGCTTTTATTTTTCATAAACGATCCGTCAGAACTTTGCATGATTTTCGCTATGCCTTCCCCAGTGCAACGAAGGATAAGTTACAAATTTACCGAATAAATCAGTATAGTTTTAAGGTTTCAAATTGGTTTTTATACCGCGTTACTTGCATTCGGTCACATATTAATGACAGATAAAGCTAATTATTTTTAAAATTTTTTTGCACGAAGTCTTATGCTCTGCGGGGAAACGCTTGCGCCATTTTATTAAATACTCGCCATTGTGATTTTTTAAATATATGCGGTTACCTTTAAATCGATTTGCTTCATAAATATTGTTGAGTAAATTTATTACGAACTTTAAAACAGGTTAACACAATCTTTTAAGAAGAAAAATGAGATTTTATTCCTGGTTTTTTGACGACGGACGTTCAGTTCTCATTGGTTTGACACCCGTTAATCAAGCACACAGCAAATTATCAACAAAATTTTGCAAGTCTGCTTCTATTGAAAAACTTAATTGCCGCAAATAACTCCAAAAACCAACGATTGAAAAGAGGCCATTAAACCAAGATTTCCTAATTTTCGTATTTCTGAGATTGAGTAGGTCAAGTGCGAATAATTACTGAATCAGGAGTTTGTGCTCTATTCCCTAATTTTCAAAAGTAAAATATTAAAGATTTTTGTGCAGACACTCCGACATTAAACAAAACAAAGTCAGGCCTCATGCACTTACTTATGCACGATTCAAGTTTACATCGCATAAATAAAGATATGGTAATAGCGGGCAGCATTTTAGCTCTTCGATATGAAAGAGACACATGATCTTACACTAGTGCTGGGATGGACCTGTTGGTTGATGTTGGAAGATCAAGGGACCTTACATACCAGTATTTTCTGTGTTTGAGTGCTTTTACAACTTGGTGACGTATTTTAGCTTTCTATTGGGCTAAACTTATCATTTTTAAGCCTTGTACCATGGTTAGTGCTGTATCAAAATGACTTGTTTCAAAAACTAGGTACAGCTCGATCTGGGATAATTTATACCAGGTCATAGGAAAGGTTTCATGTAGCTTATTGATCAGAAAATTAAGCCATTCGTTTAAACAATAAAAGCCAAGCCTTCCTGACAATATTAGGTTGCATACTCTGAATTATTGTGA